AAAATAAAGCCTAAATCATTTTCCTTCTGAGTAAGTAACAAATCCCTTTCAGGATTCCGCTAGAAGGCTTAAAATGTCACATAAATGCCAAATCCAAGACTCTCGCAAATATGTGGATTTTTAAAGATGATGTTCAGGCATTAAAGCTACCTGAAACTGATGAGGTTAATATCCTTATCGCAGCTTCAAGGTGCTAAAAAGGGGGATAACACCCAACAGTTATATGACAACCATACGTTTCTGCATTCATAGGAGTAGCGAGGTCTTGGTTTAGCGCAAAACAAAGATGGCTTCTTAATTGTTTACATCACATAAATGAATTTACACTCTCCAATGCAAATACAACTCCATTTGGGTTTCAGTTGTCTTACTATCAGGTTTTTTTTATGTTTGGTTGCTGGTCAAAATCCCCGAGTTGACTCTACTGTTGAACCACGGAGGACTGAAGCAAGGTACATACTGTAAGTCACCTCTCCAAATTATATCCAGCTATATAAGAGGACTAGCTACAAGCTACAAGCTAGGCATGTGACTTTGAAGAAGCTGTGCAAGCTATGAACAATGAATATTGTTTACACACTTCTGTTTTGAAGTTAGAGCCCTCATAAACATACACTATATGGACAAAAGTACGGAGACACCTGGCCATTACACTTACGGGAAATTTTATCCCATCCCGGCATCAATATGGAGCTGGTCCCCCCTTTGCAGCTATAACAGCTGCCACTCTTCTGGGAAGGCTCTCCATAAGATTTTGGAGTGTGGGAGTATGGGAATTATGGCTCATTCATCCAGAAGAGCATTTGTTAGTTCAGGCACTGATGTTGGACTCAAAGGCCTGGCTCACAATCTCCATTCTATTTCATCCCAATGGTGTTTTATGGGGTTGAAGTCATGTGCCGGCCAGTCAAATTCTTCCACTCCAAACTCTCCCACCTATGCCTTTATGGACCATGCTTTGTGCACTGGGGCACAGTTAGGTTGGAACAGAAACAGTCCTTCCCCAAACTGCTCCTATTAAGTTGGAAACACAGAATTGTCCAAAATATCTTGGTATGCTGAAGCATTAAGAGTTCCCTTCACTGGAACTAAGGGGCCTTGCCCAACCCCTGAAAAACAGCCCCGTATCATTTCCCTCCTCCACCAAACTTTACAGTTGGCACAGTGCAGTCAGACAGGTAGCGTTTTCCTGGTATCCTCCAAACCCAGACTCGTCAATCAGACTGCCAGACAGCGAAGTGTGATTCATCACACCACAGAACACGTTTATACTGCTCCAGTGTACACCACTCCGTCCGACACTTGGCATTGCTCTTGGTGATGTGAGGCTTGCATGCAGCTGCTTGGCCATGGAGGCCCATTCCATGAAGCTCCTGATGCACAGTTCTTGTGCTGGGGTTCATGCCAGCGCGTCGGTGACTTTAACGCAGTATGTGCCTCACCAATCGACGACCCCACTCTGTTACTTTACACGGTCGGCCACTTTGAGGCTGAGTTTCTGTTGTTCCTAAACACTTCCACTTTGCAATGATACCACAGTTGACTGTGGAATATCTAACAGGGAAAAAAAAAAATCATGAACCGACTTCAAAAGTGGCATCTGACTGCAAAGGTGGCATCTTATGACAGTATCACACTTGAGTTCACTGAGCTCTTCAGAATGACCCATTCTTTCACAACTGTTTGTAACCCTGACTGCATGGCTAGGTGCTTGATTTTATACACCTGTGGCAATGGGTCTGGATGAAACACCTGAATTCAATGACTAAGAGGTGCTGCCATATTTTCGTCCATAAACTGCATTGGATAATGACTAACACTCTGCTAACCAGAAATCAAAGCAATACTGTCATTTACATACCTGCAAAATAGATAAGTATTCAACTTCCATGTGGAATTCAGGAACAACAAAGTGTGCACTTCTCACTACTCGCGTGGTGCTGGGTGACGGTCACGGCACGGACACGAGGTGGAGGACACGCTGGATGGGATGTCACTGCACCACAGGGGACACGCACACTCGCTCACGGCAGGAACTGAATCCACAGGCCGTTGCTCGGGTCATTATTTTGAGGGGGAAAAAAATTATGTATGATCTTTTTTTATATATTGTGCAGCAAGCTGTTTTAAAAATGCCAATGGAAAGAGATCAATCCAAAAACCTCAAAATCATCCATTCATCCATCTTCTGTAACCGCTTGTCCAATTCAGGGTCCGGAGCCTATCCCAGAGGCTACGGCACAAGGCAGGGAACAACCCAGGATGGGGTACCAGACCATCACAGCTCAAAATAAAAACATGTAATAATACAATAAATCATATTAATATTTGTCTTACCATAGTACTTTCTTTGTATGTCACACAACTAATTTTTTGTGCAATTAATTTATATAGGAGATTTATAGCTCAAACCATCTGTCAGGAGTGTCTCCTTCAGAAAGGAAATTTTATACACACACACACAAACACACAGACATAAATATATATATATATATATATATATATATATATATATATATATATATATATATATATATATATATAGACACACACACACGTATAACTGCATGTAATGTATATTTAAAAAGTAGGGTTTTCTGCATATACAATTGTTAAGGTTATGGTTATGGGTGCATGTCCAATGTGACAGAGGTGATTCATTGAATCTGTGCCCTCTGAGGTTATTGTGGTAGATCAGCATTTGTCCGGCACACCGATTTGGACGGGTCCTGTGGTATTTGCCTTATAGCGACTTCTCAGTGAGTCATAAAACCAACAAAAAGAGGATGAGGGTAAGAGTTTCCAAAAGCATCACATCAGGCAGACACACAGACATCTGTACTCGCACTGGATTGGGCAGACACTTTAGCGTAACTGTATAAGTACAATAAAAATATGGATTAGGACCATTTCAGAATGGTCCTAATTTTAGCCATTTTGCCTGGTGCTTATGCACCTTCCTTTGTGAAAATGCAGCTGTTAAATCATCTTTAATCAGTCACTTTATATGTGTCTTATATCGCATACTCATAACACCATAAAATATATAAATTATCTCAGTATGAATTAACATCTACACTGAGAAGTTACTTTTAAATTTATTGCCAGGCAACTCACAAAAATGGCTCTCGCAGTAAAATGAACATAACAAGCACTCACCGCTAGGACCTGCCACCTATCCTCATACTTACAGCCCTGACAGACTGAGAACATCAACAGCGAAATGCACCTCAAATCAATCATGCAATCCATTGACCTTGAACTACAGGCAAATAGGATCCTACTGTAGATTATGCTTTGGATGCAAACATCATTTAGAATGTGCTAAATAATTAAAGTTACAAAAGCTTCCCTTCCCCTCTGTGCCTTTGTCCCCGAATCCGCCCGCACAGAATACATCTCATTTGCTGCAAATATTATGATGATCTCGATGATGAAAGTGTTGGCTGCTCTGCCTGGATGTACAATAATTAAAAGCAAGTCTCTTGTTTACTCGACAGTGCTAATGATCCTGATGAAATTACTTCTGGGACCATAATTATAGTAACTGGCTGCAGACACTACAAGAAGATTGGCACTCGGAGTGAAGCAGACACTTAAAAGCAGTCCTCTGGCGCTGACGTCGTCTCCACGGCGACTTCGGGCCGCCAGAAGAGGAGCCACATCCACCACTGATATATTACCGAAGCATTTTAACATTCTGTTTGGTTATCAAGTTACTGAATTAGTGATGCATATATTGTCATTTGGTACTGATTCAGCAGAGATGGGGAGGGGTACAGCTACCATTCAGTGTTAGCAAAACCAGCTGCAATAGGGACCGGAGAGAGCCTTGCGTACCCATCGAACGGCCCACATCCAGAGTGCTGCTCTTCCTGTCACTCACACGGATCAACATAAAACAAAAATCTATGCTATTTCATGGGTAGTTACAAATAAAGGGAAGGTATCCTGAGTAATGATGTTTTGCAGGGAGAGAGCAGCCTGGACAGAGCTACTCATCACGGCGGGTTTAATCAGCCACTCACAGAAGGAATTGTTTTACTTATGAATATTAATGCCCCTCTAAGTTGGGGCTGTTGTAAATGCTATTTGTCATCAGGAGCTTCACAAATCAGGTCCTACTCCCGTTAAAACCATGTATTAGACACCCCCTGACATTAAAACCCTCGCCTTTGATTCCTAATTGCAGGAGCGCGAGCACTCGCGGAAGATGGAATGCAAAGCTTTAATTAACTCATATCACACATGCAACGCTTTGATTGTCACTTACCCCGTGCATCACATGCAGCCGAGCCGACCCCCCCCCCCCAAACCCATCCCTGCCATCATCCACCTGACAGCCAGATCCTCTCTCCCCTGCTATAATGATGATACTTAAGACCACGGAAATGCAGAGGCACATGCGAAAGCGACATTTTATAAGTTAAAAATGCACCACTCCAGCGAGGAATATGTGTCAAATATATTTAGCTATATTGCTCTAAATTTTAATACTACAAAGAGACTGGATTTACTGTGACCATGAATGTATATATACACAGAACATAAACAGCAACATTTCAGCACGACCCTGAGAGGATTGTGGAAGTACAACGTTTACATGCAGATTTGTTTTAACATCCGTAACCCAAGGAGCTATTCCAAAGACAAGCAACTGACTTCAACAGCTCTGTGCCAACCGGAGCTGTAATCAATCCTGATCCATGACTCGCTGAGGAGGGAATACCGAATCTGAAGCTTCAGTTGGGTGGCTCGCTGAATGGGAATTACTGACAACTGCTGCTGCCCTCTACTGGCTGTGACCATAACGGCAGTCTGGTGTGCTGTACTTGCGAAACCCACCTCAACAAAGAAACCCATGAATTTTTTTGGGGGGGGGTGTAGCACTGATGCCCTAGGCATTAGGATGTAAAACAAACACAAGAGACCCAACAATGGCTGGTGAATGGGGAGACAGCCCTCAGAGACAACATTAATAACTGCATACTTACAGCTTGTAATGTAATTCATTAACAAAGGTTTTATTTGACAAGGAAAAAATACATTACTGAGTTAGATTTCACTGACCATGAGAAAAGATTTACACCAAAATATGCAGAGTAAAAACCCTTACAAAAACAGCATTATCATTGCAAAGTTTTCCTTTGTAACGCCTGTAAAAGGCAAATATGTTTGAAGTGATGATTCAAGGCCTGCATTGTACAACACAGGAGGATGTAATGAAGATGGAAACTGAACTGAATAGCCAGTACAACAATTAAAAGTCAAAATGTCTTCTGTGTAGAGCTCTGGAATTTACATCACATACACAACTAGTGAAACATTAAAAAAAAGCAGGACGGTGGCCAAATTTGGGGCTGCGAGGTTCCTCTACTGTTAACCCCATACTGCCACCTTCTGATTAAAAACTGCTACTAACCGCGCAGCAGTTACCTCCATCAGTCATTTCCGGGCCATTTATAGTAAAGCTGAACTCTGATACCCAAAGACCGTTAATGAGATTATATTTACCTGTGAAGCTTTTAAAAGTCCTGGGACATATTATTATACATCATCACCGAAAAGTTAGTTTAGGGCTACAGTAGCTTAACTTCAGATCCAATATGAATCAAGAGTACTCCTGCGATTCCAAATACACATTAGCTTCCGTAACACAACTATTATAAGAGCACCATTGCACGTTATGAAAAACCACTTTGCACACCATCTCATTCGTTTATAAATGCATTTTAAATAGACTAATGGAGGAAATGACAGACACCTCCTTTCTGTTGTGGCCGCATTTCTCTGCGGGGTTAAACATCGCGGGTGTTCATCAACAATAATACACATACTTTTTATTGCTGACAAATACAGCATGTATATATTTTTTTACTTTTAAGACCACGCCAAAGCTAGGTCTGGGCATTAACAGCCAATTAAAAATTAAAAATAACAGTATTAAATGGATTTCTAAAAAACCCTCAAAAAAAGATTAGGTGTATTAAAAATGTAATTTGATCCGCTGCCAACATTCCATTTTGCTAAGATTGTAAACATCTTCCCTACAGGGAAATGGAGGGAGCGTGAATCACCTAAAATGTTGAGTAAAGTCAATCTGAGCCAACTCACAGGAGCAACAGAATTAGCAGCAGTGGCTGTTTGATATTCTAAAATCCCTTTAAATGTTAAAAAGAAGAGATTACCACAGACGACCAAATCATTCAAAATCACACATCTCTGCTGTGCCATTGTGACTAATTAAATGGAAATTCATTTGAATTTGTATAGGATGCCAAATATATATCAGAAGTTAAGGAAAGTGACACGCTTTTCCAAAGAACACATAATCAATGTCACCTACAGCAACCTCTCAATCTGGATTTCTGGACAAGCTTAATATTTCGGGCTACGCATGCGTTTCCTGTCAGATAAAAACACTCAGGCTGATCAACCAAGAGCCATGCATTGCAGAGACAGCAGTCAGAAACTGGACCGTTGGAGTCTCTTTGAAGATCATTCTTCCATTGTCTCCTTCGACTTTCAGCTGAATAACTTTCCAAAAATGGATTTTTTCTTGGGTTTGGGTTTCTTTATATCTGTTTTCAGAAAAACAAAAATGTTACTATTAAATGAGCAAATAACTACACACATTTCTCAGATGTGCAGTAAGAAAAAAAACATCAGAGCAAAAAAAAACACAAACACTTTTTGTTGCTGTACATCAAAGTGCTTCGACCTAATACTCCATTATAATGTCTTCTGTTTTAAGAAAGATTAGAGTGGTAATAATAAGAAAAATACAGATTTTGCAAGACATGAGAGCATATTTGGGTATCTGGCTGAACAGCTACAAAGGCCAATGTTGAACATCCAGCACCCATATCCTTTCTATTAACAAGGACAGATGAGGACAGTGTTTTGCTTCATGGCAAACTGACATACTGAACAGGAAACTGATTAATACGAAAAGACATTTGGGAATAAAGTGATTGTCTGACCACAGTATGTGAGAGGTGAATTTATCATTTCACTGGTAACATATGTCACAGAAGTTCAGTCTTCAGCTCCTTCCTGCTTTTATACACAATAGCATAGAACCTCTACCTATTGCCATAAAGTAGAAAATGAACCGTAGGTCAAAAAATAACCCAGTCAGTGGGAGCTATAAATGGAAAGGAGACATCACTAGAGTAATACTGCAAAGTGTCAATACTGGCATCGTGCACAGTGACTAGCAAACTAAACCAGGGATGATATCTAAAATGTATGATATGTAAATCCAGCTGGCTTCTCTTTGATAAACAACTATTTTGAACACAGGTCTACAAAACAGAACCTTAAATAAAATTGTGAATTTACAGTTGCAAAAGTTATGCATTTCATAGTTCACCGTTTCAAATCATGAACTGCACATAAATGCAATATTTAGATAAATTATAGAACAAATGTCATATGAGAGGCTGACCAATTATACACAACAGCAGAAATGCATTTTCCCCAGTATGCGTTTTAATTAAAAATTAAATCATACAAGTAAACTCTGGATGGAACTGGAGTCATTATGGGTCATTAGTACAAATGGAATGCATAACTGAAACACAGTAACAGCTTTAATAACTCAGTAGTACCAGGAAAAACAAACACAGATTATTTTTGTATTTGCTGCAAGCTTAATATCTAGTGCTTTCTAGCATATGGAGATTACAATCGTCTTCGTTACCCAAGACATACTCTGTGATCTGTTATTGACTTACCAAGATTCTTCATCAGCTGATTCAACTGCTCATCCTCTTCCTCTTCTCTGGGGGTGTAAAATTGAGAAGGGAAATTAGAAACATCTAGATCTATTTGGAAACCTTTATTGGTTATTTATAACCAAGAACAAATATTAGTACAGTCAAGTAATGCTTCCATGAAGGGATAGTGACATGTATATCACACCTACTGTATGTTTTTCATTTTTATTTAAATCCTTAAGGATATTTCCTAAAATAACTGGCTGCTTTTGATCTTTTGCTAAAAGCATTGCAGCTTGTTTACAGGGATGCAACTTTTCATGAGGTCACGAGGACATCACTGCGATCAGCTCACCTCAGCCGATCTTCATCCAGTCCCTCTATGATGGCATTCCTATCATTAACGATCTCCACCAGCTTTTCCATGAGCTCTGCCTCTCTCTTTCTGTCGGTCGTAGTTTTCAGGTGTTCTGGGAAGGGAGCAAGAACCTAACAGTGAACTTAGGGAGAGTCAGAGCTTACCTCTTGCTCATTTAAGCAAAGTCCAAAGTGACCTGTAGTGTATAATTTTCATTGCCCACTAGTACTGGTGAATTTATATTTTTGGAGCAATTTCTAGGACTGAGTTGCGGGGTTACAGCCACAGGTAAGATGTATGTGATACATCCCTCTATGGCAGCGGCGTGTGGCCAGCAAGCCAGGCCAGAAGGGTGGTGCACACCTGGCTTCTCCATCAGCCGCCGAAGTTCACCCTCCACCCCTGGCTGCTGCTCCTCCAGATCCTGGGTCTTTGCGCTGATTACAAAAACACACACACACGCACACAAAATTCGATTTCTGTCACAAGTGCCGGTCCTCCACCGCTATGTTTGTGCTAGATGATTGCGAGTTGAACGAAGAGGATTTAACCTGCCCCCTGCCCAATCAATAATGTACTGCCTTTAAAGAAAACAGACATGCAGTTTCATGCAGTGCTGACACTGGTAGGTTTTCGAAACACAATCCCTGATCCAACAATTAGGCCACACCCACTCGCTCCCTTAATGAGAAGGCGACATCTTACACGTAGACCAGCTCCGATTCCCGTCTCATGTAAACTTGCTTATTTCTGATAAGGTTGAACCAGTCCACCATGAGATCGTCCATGACATCCTCATCCTCCGCTGAAACACAAACTAGCATAAATAGATGGACGTCGCACCCAACAGTCACACAGAAACAAGAATAACACAATCGAAATTCCCAGTACTAGCGGACAGCCACATTTCTTCCCCCCCCCCCCAAGAGAATTACAGGTGAGGAAAGCGATAAAAGAAGTTCCCCGTCAACTTTTGGGCTGAGCCTCGCCAGGGAGAGATGCAAACAATGGGCGCTCCTGGAATTTCATTATTTTAATTGACCGTCTCCTCGGGCTCTTGCTTAGGCTCAATGTCATTAAGAACAATATATGCAGGGCTGACAACAAGGGCCACAGGCACCGTAAGGCTTTCATGAAATCCGCGCTCCTGTTTTCAAGTGGACAGGGGACGGCAGCGGCGAGTATGGGCACCGGGATGACATAGCTGGCAGGCTGACACTTCTTTTTTTTTTTCCCAAGGTCACAGTAGGTTGAGCAATCACACCTCCTCCTCATCGCGGCTCCCCCCCACACTATTTCCATCCCATACCTCAATCCCACAGAGAGAGGAGGCCACAAGGAAAGGGGAGAGGGAGCCTCTTCACAGCATCCTCGCCATTCAGCTCGGGCGATTGGAAATTGAGACTTTTTTTTTTTTTTTTGGGTCACACCCCTTCTGGCTATGCTGGAACCCCAATCCAAGCCCCAGATGGGCCCTAGCCTTGGCTCTCTCGGCTTGGTGGGGGGAGTAGACCTCCCAGGCCACCCAGCGAGACACAGACACACTGATGAGCAGAGGCCACACAACCCATTTAGGGGAGCACTGAAATAATACACTGTATCAAATCCAAAAGATCGCTTATAGTTACCAACTTACTGGGAAACGAGTCCATCTCCAGGGGAATCACATGTCCTACAAATTACATCCGTCCCCCAAACTACCGCGGCATTCCCCAAATGCTCCCCGCCGACTGTCAGACTCCCCGAGAGATGGTGTAATCTCCAACGCCTTTATAAAGTCATCTCTCTGTGTCCTTAACGTTGAGCTTCACGGACATCCCCAATAAAATGGCCATAATTTATAAAAAGATAATTTATATGCCACTTGATTGAAACCCACTTTGAAAGAAATTATAAGGGGCTTTGTGGCAATATCATCTGGAATAAAAAATAAAAAAAAAACCCTTAGCTCTATTTCTTTATTTTTTTGTTTAAAACATCCTTGTCTGTTCTAGCTATGGCCCAAAGGACAGCTCCTCTATGTCTGTCAGTTTCTCGCATCCAAAACGCCGAGGACGCCTCACATCGCACTCAGGTCAACCTGTTCCAGGACCCCCAGTCCTCCGAGTTCTCAGCTCAATTCCCAGAGTGCAGGCTGCGTGGAGGGGTGCCTTGCCCGGGATGCGAGGCCTAGCAGAGTAATCAGCCGGCCGAGCTCCACGTGTACGTGGATATTAAAGTGTGACAGGCGTTGCTGCAAAACACAGCCCTCACGTGCGAGTCTCATCGCCCCGTGCGAGTCTCATCGCCCCCGATCCACGTCTCGGTGTCAGCTCCACTCAGTCAGCTATAACGAAGCTGTTCGTGAAGATGATGAAGCAGGCAGTACTGTTTGTTTATTTTTTTTTTAGAATGGATAAATAAACAATGAAAAGCTTTGCATGGGGGGGTGTGTGTGTGTGTGTGTGTGTGGGGGGGGGGGCACACCTTCCTCACAGCGACGGAGTCGTTTCTCCAACTCCACTCCATTCTTCTCCAGTTCGTTTAGATTGTTCTCGATCTCCTCGAGTTCCTTCAGGATCTCCTCTTTGGGTATGTAGTCTGTCTTGGTCTAAAAATAAAATAAATCAGTTAAGCAAAACTGTAAAAAGATAAGTAACGACTGAAATTTAACCGGTTTGGGCTTTAGATTTTAAGGTCATGATTTGATATGCATAATGGATCAGTATATGGACATTAGATGTCCAACTTAGAGCCTTTAAATTAATTTTTCATAAATATTATCTAAGATTATTGGTAAAACCCCTGCAGGAAAGAGCACAGAGGAAGGAAAAAAAAACCCTTAACTAAGAGCCGCATATGTTGTTGATGCCAATTAACTTAATTCTTCCAAGGCTTTGTCTCCGGTGCATTTTATCAAACGATAATTTTGTCCTTCAGCTGTTTAATCTCCACTTCTCTAAAGACCATCCCCTGCTCCTCCATCACAAACACGTATCAAAAAGCCACGTAGCGTGCAGCCATATAATTAATATGTTAAAACATACCTTAGGTGACTGGATTTCAGGCTTGGAGGTATTTGTGTCTGATGAACCCTTCCCATTTTTAAAGCCTGAAAAGATAATTGAATAAAACAGGTCTGGAATTAAAAAAAAAAAGAAAAAAAAAAAGAAAAGAGAAACCCAGCGGTTTAACAGCTGATACCATTTATCAGTCTCTGTACAGGACGAGCAGAGCTCTGACTTTCGTAGCGAAATGCCAGGCAGCCACAGTAAAACAACAGCCCAAGAAAGGTGATAAACATTTGCTAGAGATTCCACAGTGCATATTTAGCTACATCTGAAGCACCCCCCCTACAGTTTAACATATGGGAAGAACATAAAAACCGCAAGCAACTGTCATTATTGCCTTTTACATTTAACAGGGTGGTCCCAAACAAAGGATGCATTTGCATTTGCTGTTGCCACCAGTAACAGACAGACCACTTCCAACAGTCAACTGGAACAAATTGTCCAAATCGGTCCTAATGAATGCAGACAGTAAGGGCTTTGAAAAGTCAATTCCCTTTCAGACAAGTCTTTCTGCCATTTTCAGAGGGTTATTTAATATATATATATATATATATATATAT